AGAAAGAGAAAGGAAAAGAAAGGAAAAGGGTGTCATATCAGAGAAGACTGTTGGGAGGTGGGTTGTTTGCCTCTGATTTGATGGCCAAAGATAAATGAAAGAAAATGTGTAACAAGCAGGGCCTTGCCTAGAGTTTTGAGAACTGGTAAGCACCAGGGTTGTGTCATGAGGTCTTGGTGTGCTGGAGTCCCATTTTGGAGGTGGTTTCTAGATTGCTTCTCTCCTGAACAAAGAATGAGACAAGACAGAAGGGTCCAAAGAGCAATTTTGGGGCAAGTAAAAGTAGAAAAATACCTGTATCTAGAGAACAAGAGAGGCTGCCCTGGAAGAACACAGTAGAAAAATGTTCAAGATCCTCTGTCTTCTTGTATTACGCCTCCTCCAGCTGCTATGAGGTCCATGCTGTTCTAAAGAAAATCTGTTTGAGTTCTCCTGAGAGGTGCTCGTGCAGGGCCTGGAGTACTGCTGTGCCCAGGTGTCCTGGGATTTTGTGGTTAGTAGGTCATGCCTACTTCCCCAGCCAGTCTGCCATGCCCTAATCTCCTGCCTCTGTTCAGTTAGGATCTGAGCAGATAAACGTTGAAACTGTATTTCAGGCAAGACTGGCACAAGGGTGCTAATCTAACTAGAGGACTCGGGCTACTTCCAGGTGCAGTGTGAGCCCTAAGTATGGGACAGGGTCCCACAAGGATTACAGAACCTATACAAAGCTTCTCAAGATTGTGAGGAAACTCTCAGACCCTGCATGGTGGGAGACCTTCTCCAACTCCTAGCCAACATAAAAATATATATTAACACACATAAGCATGGAAAACCTCACATTTAGTCCAGGAATCATGCCCATTTGCTACACAGGCCTAAATCCATACAAAACCAAGAGCTAAAGCATGGGCCCAGGTTACCCTCCATTTTGATGGAATGTCAACCAGACAGCTGTCCAGATCCCAGATAATTTTTAGAATGAGACTCCTAGTTAGCAATGTATTTTTCTTTTCATTTTGTGCAGGGTCTCACTATGCAGCTTGAACTCGTAGTGATCCTGTTTTCAGCCTCCCCAGTACTGGGATTACAGGTGTGCACCACCTTGCCCAGACTCAGTCACCATCTCAGTGTGCCCAGGGATGGGGCTGATGCAGCATGTGGTGCCAGGGATCAAACCCTGCCCCCTGAACTTGTTTAAGTGGGTTCTCAGCTATCCCACCAGAAAAGACTTATTAGTTAGATTCTTAGTATAAAAAGTATTTTTTTACTTCTATGAATTACCTAATTTGGCCATTCATAATGAAACTTTGAGTACTATGAACAGTATTAAGTTGTTCAGCAATCTTCCTTACAATTTGATTTTTTTTTCTGCATTCTCTCCATCTTTAGAAAGCCTTTGCCTGTGCAGAGGAAGAGGGAGTCCAAGAAGAGAATGACTGCTTGCTGATCTATGATAATGAAGGCCCAGATGACGTTCCTGATTCCCCCCTGGGTTGCTGCAGTTTTATTATTGATGACTTTGATGACAGCTTCTTGGACTCACTTGGCCCTAAGTTTAAAAAACTTGCAGAGATAAGCCTTGGTATTGATGGGGGAGCCAAACAAGCTCAGCTACCCCCTCAGTACAGTGGTACTGGAGTTGACGTGTGTGGCCAGCCTGGAGAAGCCCAGCAGGCAGGTCGTGAGAGGTACCAGACTTTAGTCCAACCTGGAGAAGCCCCGCAGGCAGGTCGTGAGAGGTACCAGACTTTGGTCCAACCTGGAGAAGCCCCGCAGGCAGGTCGTGAGAGGTACCAGACTTTGGTCCAACCTGGAGAAGCCCCACAGGCAGGTTGTGAGAGGTACCCGACTTTAGTCCAATCTGGAGAAGCCCAGCAGGCAGGTCGTGAGAGGTACCAGACTTTGGTCCAACCTGGAGAAGCCCAGCAGGCAGGTCGTGAGAGGTACTATACTTTGCAAGGTGGACAAGAAGCTCCTGCTTTGTCCACCTACGGGTCACTGCAAACAGCCATTCCCATCCCCGACCCTCTACAGCATAGTAACTATTTGCTAACAGAGACCTACTCGGCTTCTAGCTCCTTCGCGCAACCTACCACGGTAGCCTTTGATCCACTTCTCACACAAAATGTAACAGTGACAGAAAGGGTGATTTGCCCCCTTTCCAGTGTCCCTGGTTCCACAGACCTGCGAGGGTCATACAGTATGCTTTGTACCGAAGATCCTTGTTCCCGTCAGTGACCAGAATGAACAAAAATAACACACTGGCCAAGATAGTGGAACCAAATTATTAAAATAACATAGCAAAGCTCACTTTATTGGACTACGATGACATTTATTAAATATTCTCATAAACCATGATGACATTTTAAATATTCTGGTTCATACCACAGCATACTGCAAACCTGGATATGTGCTCACTCTTAATTCTCTAATATTTCTTAAATTGCAGTAAATTTTTATTTAAAAAAAATCATACATCATGTTGTATGGGAAAACTCCCTGAACATCTGCGCTTTCAGTACCAAAGAGAGTGCTGATCACTTGAAAATGCAACGTCATTTAGTAGATGAAGCACTTGGAATCAGATATTCTAGTTCTTGTTTCCGTCACCTTTTCTTCTATCCTTGAAATTGCTACAAGAGCATCATTAATAGTGACTTAAGAATTACAAAGTATTTGCTAACACATTTTGAATGCTTGGGCAAAAGTTGCCTTTTCCTGTCCTCTTGGTGTAGGGAGACCGTGGTGCCTCTTCTCTTAAGCTAAGGGCTATGGGCCTGTGTACCCAACTGGCTGTAACCATTCTCTCGGAAGAAGAGAACTTAGCAATAGAAATATCATAGACCACTTATGAAAGTTTATCATGGTGTAAATAACAGTTTGTGCATTTTCAATCCTCTAAAGGATCTACCCAATGAAAATACATTGCCCTCCCTCCTATGTAGATCTCAGTAGCAAATCCTGTTAGTCTTTGTAAAAGTAGCTCCCTGACTTCTAAATGTTACTGGGTAGATATGTTATATATAACATGTAGACAAATTTATTAATATCTACAGACTTTGTAGGACAAAATACAGTTTTTCTTATAAGCAAAAGGAACTGAAGACTAGAATAACACATGGTAATATTTGTAAATATGTATTATAAGCAGCATTTTTAGAAAATACTTGGGGAAGTAATTTTCAAGTACAAAAGGGATACAGGAGTGTGATTATGTGTAAAGTGTTTTCTCAGACTTCACTTCTAAGTTAAACAACTATAGCAATTCAATGCTTGAATGGAACAAGGTTAGGCTAGATATTCTGTGCCTGGTACCCTAACAGTAACACAGCTCTTCAGATCATTTCTGGTCATTCAGGATGGTCACCCTTTAGTCCACAAAGAACACCCTACCTCACTGCTCCCCAATATTAATGTCTTAGCTGAGTGTCAAGTCATTGTTCAGTCTCACTATTTCTAATCTTATATTGAACACAAAGTTTTTAATTTTTTTTTTACCATAATGAAAGTTGAGCTGGGTGTGGTGGTGCATGCCTGCGATCCCAGTACTCGGGAGGCTCAGGTAAGAGGATCGCTGAGCATTTAAGGCCAGCCTGAGCTACAAAGTGAGCTCACGACAAGCCTGAAGTACACAGTGAAACCCTGTCTCAAAAACACCAAAAACAAAATACTGAAATACATTTTTCCAGATTGAAATTTAAACTAAGCAAGTGTTTCTGTTGCTAACCTAGAAAGGTAAAAATCTGAGGACATAAGCAACTGCTTACATATGGCTTCCTTGGTACCTATGGCTCTACCTGGCACCGCAACTACCCAGAAGGCATGTGCCAGGCCAGCCCTATAAGCACTGGTGGCCTCAGTCACCCGAAAAGGCTGCTTCTGCAGCCACAAGGCTTTCAGTGTGCCCCACCGGGCAGGGTGAGAGGAGCCAGGCGCCATGGGGCAGCCCACTGAGTGACTGTTGCTGTCCCATCACTGTTCTTTGTTTCTCAGCAGAAAGCCAGCCTAAAACCCACAACCGGTTAGGCATGAGGGTTAAGGTAATAATCACAATAGCCTTTATTTAAAATTCAAAGTTGTACTTAGGATCCTCAAAGTATTTTAGCTTTACCTCTGAAAATCAATTTATGGGCCAGGGAGATAGCTCAGCGGTCTGAGCACCTGACTGAAAATCAATTTATGAAACAAGAATGTGGCTACATTAGTAAAGCCCAGAGGGAGCCAGGTCATAGTAGTAAGGACTATACTAGACAAAAACTGAAATTAAATGTGCTTTTAATTTTTTTTAACTGATCTTTAGGGTGACCTAAAAATTTATTTGCTGTGTAAAATGTCTACATTATTTTTTCACCAAAAATAAAAGCTGTTTGAAACAGAAAAAAAAAATTAACCATTCTTTGCCTTTATGTATTATACATATATATTCGGTGTAACATTGTCATAATAAAACTGCTTAACAATAAATGTCTGAGTTCTTCTTGGCCATTTCATAAAGCTACACTCTCTATAATGTATAGTTATTAGGAAATATGGTATAAAACATTTGTGCATAAATTTTTAATAATATTTATGCTTTTTTTTTTAGCTGATACCTTCTCTGCACCAGGCCAGCAAGGAAATACCTGGCAGTCCAGGATCACCTTGGTCTGGATATGCTCAGGGCAGAAAGACTTTATTACCTGAGTGCATTATGTCACTTCTTATTTATTTGATATATAGGAACAGTTCCCCAAGCAAAAGTTGTGACAGTCTAAGAAAATTCAAAGAGAAAAGGTGGAGTAAAGAAAAGGTAACGTTCTAGTCTACCCTGGTGGGAAACTGTACCACGGCCCGGTGGAAGTCCCCTGTCCCAGTGGTGGGTTGACTGCTCCATAACCACTCTGCCTTCCTGTCTCCCTCTGAGGGATGCCACAAAATGAGTCCCTTCAGAGACTGCCATGGCTACCTTCCTCCTCCTTAAATCTGCACAGTGAGGCCAGGGTATGGGGAGAAAAACCTAGATTAAAATGAATCCATTCCAGGGC